GGGAAGCAGAAACTCAAACACTTGGGCCATCATTTGTTGCTCTCCCAGCCCAGGAGCATGGGCAGAAAGCTGTACTAGAAGCGAAAGAACCGGACTCAAATCAGCACTCCAATATGGAACATTAACATTGCAAGGAGTGGCTTATTTGGCTGTGCCACAATAGCAGCCCCTAAATAAATGTTTTTAATTACACAAAGAAACTGTACTAATCTATGTAGCATTATATGATCTGAATAAATGAATAAGATGTGTAATGATCAAAACAAGTAACTGGCATATCTGTCACCTCAGTCACACATTATTTGTCTTGGTTGGCAATATTCAAAATCCATTATATTAGGTAATTTTGATATATTCAGGGGCCAGCATTGTAGCAGAGCAGGTTAGGCTGCCATATGTGCCTTGAGTCCTAGCTGCTACACTTCGGACCCAGCTCCCAGCTAATGTGCCTGGCAACATGGGAGAAAGGCCCAACTATGTAGGACCCTGCACCCATGTGGAAAAACACGTGGAAGCTTCAGGCTCCGGGCTTCAGTTGGACCAAGTCCAGACATTTGGAGAGTAAACCAATGAATGGAGGATATCTCTTAGGTAACCCAAGACCACATAAGATAGTTGTCACAAAAATACTGTTCTTAGAGGTAGACTATGATTTTCAATATAGCGGTTGGCACTGTGATAGAGTGGGTCTACCTATCTCTTCTTAATAAATAAATAAATTAGACCTTGCACACATGCCTAGTGGCTAAATTCCTCACCTTGTATGTGCTGGGATCCCATATAGGCATTGGTTCATGTCCCGGCTGCTCCACTTCCCATCTAGCTTCCTCTTTATGGCCTGGAAAAGCAGTCAAGGATGGCTCAAAGCCTTGGGACCCAGAAGAAGCCCTTGGCTCCTGGCTTTAGATCAAATCAACTCCAACCATTTTTGCTACTTCAGGAATGAACCAGCAGACAAAAGATCTTTCTCTCGGCTTTTCCTCTCTGTAATTTTGACTTTCCAATAAGAATAAATAAATCTTTAAATAAATACATAAATTTTATGTTCCCATGCACAATTTAGTTTTATATACATAACATTTGCTCTGTTCTGCTTAAAAAACAATGCATGTAATTAAAACATCCATGTCACATTATCATGATCTGATCTCATTTGTTCAGCTCATCAGAAATTTCAATAGACTGTGTACTATTATCATCAAAATCATAACTGGGATGAAATAAAAATGTAGAAAATGAGAAATTTCAAGGTACAAATAGTTTTCAACAATAAAACTGTCAGAAAGGAGTCAATTACGATTTTAGAAATAACAATACAATTTCATGAAAATACTATCTAGCACACCATAAAATGTTTGTGTGGGTGAAGCACACTTTCTACAACCTTTGTCCCCGCCAGCATTAACTCTGTAACACAAAGAAAAGTACTGAAAATCACTACTGGGAAATAAACTACTGAAGTTTATAAAACAATTCCTTACCACAAATTACACAGTGTTAATTGTGTCCTCTTAACTCAATTTTCTTAAGAATTAAATCACAGGGCCCAGCGTGATAGCATAGTTGCTAAAGTCCTCACCTTGCATACCCTGGATCCCATATGGGCACCAGTTCTAATCCCAGCAGCTCCACTTCCCATCCAGCTTTCTGATTGTGGCCTGGGAAAGCAGTCGAGGGCGGCCCAAAGCCTTGGGACCCTGCACCTGCGTGGGAGACCTAGAAGAAGCTACTGGCTCCTGACTTTAGATCGATGCAACTCTGGCTGTTGCAGCTACTTGGGGAATGAATCAGTGGACAGAAGATCTTCTCTGTCTTTCCTCTTCTCTGTATATCTGACTTTCCAACAAAAATAAATAGATCTTTAAAAAAAAGAATGAAATCACAGCACTTATGATGAGTAAAGAATATTTTTACAAAGTAGAGGCACAACACCTAAACTTCTAGAATACCCAAAATGCTGCAACACACCTTCATTTCTTGCCCCCAGAAAGAAACAGAACATCAAGACCAGAGAAACTGAACTGTGTGTAGCAACAGCAAGCCACTGTTCAGGCTGAGAGCTGCTGCTCCATGTTTCTCCACTCCACCATAGTAGACAATATTTACACTAATAACTTCTCAGAAAAGCCATCAGAGCAATATCTAACCTCAAATACCCATTTTCTCATCAAATCCTCTTGCCCTACCTGTACAGCTCCCCTTTCACTCCTTCAGCTAGATCCTGATTCCCAGGCCCAGACTTTTCCCCATGACCACTGTGCCTTTTTCACAGGAGACATCTTCTCCAGCCTGCCTTCACTCCACTGCCAAAATCATCTTTCCCGGATATTCTGTCTTTGCCGCCCACCTATTCCACCTGAGCTTTTCAAGGTCTTCATATTGCATTGCTCTTCTGCTTAAAAGCTGTAGCCTCCAGCCGTACATGACAGCCTAGTGGCTAAATCCTTGCCTTGTGTGTGCCGGGATCCCAGATGGGTGCCTGTTCATGTCCTGGCAGCTCAATTTCCTGTCCAGCTCCCTGTTAGTGGCCTGGGAAAGCAGCTGAGGACGACCCAAAGTCTTGGGACCCTGCACCCATATGGGAAACCCTGAGGAAATTCCTGGCTCCTGGCTTCGGATCAGCTTGGCTCTGGCCATTACGGCCACGTGGGTAGTGAACCAGCAGACAGAAGATCTTTCTGTTTCTCCTTCTGTCAGTAATTCTGACTTTGCAATAAAAATAAATAAATCTTAAAATACAAAAAAAAAAAAGAAAGAAAGAAAGAGCATCTGCCTCAACCACTGATTGATTGATTGACTGATTCATAAGGTTGCCAATGACTTTCAATTCCCCTTTAAAATGCCAGTTTTCTCTTTCCTCTGGTAAGGGTACCAGGCAGCAATCACATTTACCCTCATCCATGTAAATGTGAAAATTCTTTTGCATTTAGCCACCACATGCATAAGTAACACAATGTAGCATAATTACAAATGTTTGCATATCCGGGTAATCCCCATCAAACTGTCAGAATACCAGACAAGAGCTATTTCTTTCGGATCACTCTGTACAATACTTATCTATTATGTCACGACCAAGGTAAGATGATTCATTAAATAACACTATTAGGGAAAGCTTAAATAAGCACAAAAGAAAGATAAGTTCTATGTGGGTGTAGGCGTGCGTGCCTGTATAGACACACAGCGTTTAAACATCTACGGCCTTTCATCCTTCCACGGCCATGCACAACTGGCACACTTTGGTTCCATTACACTTCACTCGCACCACCCTTTTACTTTTTAAAGCACAGCCAGAATTTAAAGTGCAAGCTGAGGATTGATACGGGGTATTCACTTTTACATTCCGAGATCAAAACCTTTGCAAATCAGCAATGTCAACTGTCAGAAAGCTGAGATACAACTCGATTTCCCCAAAAAACAGTTTCAGCACTAAAGGAAGGGAACAGCGGTCTCTGATGCTTGGGGGGCTTCTTCCCCTACAACTGGTTTCAATTACTCCCCACATCCCAAGAGCTCTGGATTAAGAAACTTGAATAAGTTCTCATTCCCGTCTGGAAAGAATACGAGGGAAAGGCCATCTGTTTACTTAAAGGAAAGTAAAGTGGGCAGTAGGTTTCTCCTTCTCATGGAACCAGAGGGCTCCATTAAGCTTCGCACTCAAAATCCTCTGGCAGTCTTGGAGGGTTTTTTTTGGTTTTTTTTTTTTTTTCAGTTAATAAAAGCAAGCCTCATTCAATTTCATCCATTCCCAAGCACCCTCTCAAGCTGTCCAAATTTGACAAGGAAAAAAAAAATTAAAGAAATGGGAGGGGAGCGAAGGCACCAGGACTCGTCTACAATCACTTCTTCCCCAAATCACACTACTGGGTCTCGGATTTCCTTCGCTCTAAACTAAAGCCTTCGATTCCAAAAATAGTTCTTGAACCCCCACCTCGCCACTCAATCACATATAAGCCTTGCCAACTACATAACCATCGTAGAAAACCCCTCCAAACTGGCTCACTCTACATCTTGGAAGTCGTGCCCTGCAGCAACTGCCTGCCTCCAAAACCGGGGATATTACCCAAATGCAACGCAACCGAATCAGACATGCAGGGCACACATGGCTTCCGCGAGAGGCAGAAAAGTGCGCTCTTCGGGTGCGAGTAGGGGTTCCAGAAAGGGAGGGAGAGAAAACACCAGTGAGGGAATCCTTCCCTCTTAAGTTAAAAAAAAAAAAAAAATGGGGTGGGGGGAGGCTGGATCCCCCACCTCCTGGCCTCAAGCTGCAGCCTGTCCTGGCAAAAACCAAAAGGCAGGCAGAGGGCCCGTGGCTCTGAAAGGTGGAATGCAGATACTTTCCGAAGTCCGAACACAAGCTGGTCCCCACCTCCCGTAGGAGGCAAGGGGTATCCCATGGGTGGATGGAAGGGACACCCGGCCCGCGAGGGACAGCTGGGAGGCAGAGCAGAGTTTCGCCCGCTCAATACCAGAGCCCGGAGCCCTATCCGGCCGGTGCCCTGGGCAAGCACAGCTAGAGCGGCGTGGGGCCGCCCGGATTGGGGGAGGGGGTAGAGATGGGATTCCCCCCTCTTTTCCCAAGAGCAGCAGCAGCAGAGGATGCGCCCGGCCAGCAGCATGCTTCAGACTGCGGAGCCGGGATCCCGCTGCCCGCACCAGCAGCTGCGGAGCCCCGCAGCGCCCGCAGCACCGGCCACTCGGTCCCCGGGGGGCCAGGGACTTCGGCTAGCAAGGCGCTGGGGGCCTGACATCCCACGGGGCCGGCCCCAGATCCCGAGGGAGTGGGGGGGAACACGCGGGAACACCCCAACCTCCAGCATCTCTCAAGGGTTGTAAAATGCACACCCCCCCCTCCTCCTCCTCCTGCTCTTCTCCCGATCCTCCTCCTCAAGCCTCCCCTCCCTCCCGAGGCCGCAGCGAAAAGGCCACCACCACAGACGAGAAACCTGAGGCAAGTGGCGGAGAGCCACTGCGGCCGTTCAGGACCTCCTTCCCCCGGTTACCTGTGAGGACTCCGACACGGATTTGATGATCGTGGTTAGTGAGGATCATTCCCTCGGTCGCCATGTTTCCCAGCGCAGTCACCGCACTGACAGGAGCCGGGAGAAGCCGGAGCCCGGAGCGCGCGGGCCGGGAGCGCGCTCGGCCTCGGAGAGCGCGAGACCGAGGGCGCCCGGGGAGCGCGAGGAGAGCCGGGCCAGGAGGGGAGGAGGAGGAGGAGCGGGGCGGCCGAGTGCTCAGTGGCCGGCGTGGAGGAAGAGGCCGCGCCGGGAGTGCGCGGGTCCGCGGGAGAGGCGGAGTCGGGGCGCGGGTCCGGGTCGCGGGAGGCGGCGAGCCGGGGATCGGGGGGGCGCGGCGGCCGCCCGGGGAGAGCGTGCGGGGGCGGCTGGAGCGAGGCCGAAGGGACCCCCGGGGCTGCCGGCGGGGCGTGAGAACCCGAGCGGCGAGATGGCGGGGAGACGGGAGCACACGCTCGGGAGGTTGCGGGGGCGGACTCTGGCACCGGGGCGGAGCTACACCCCGAGGCGTGGAACTCGTGGAGAGTGAGGGGAGGAGTGAGAGCTCGGGCGGCCGAGGACCGGGAGCGGGAAGAAGCCGGGTCCGGACCGAGTGGGGACCGAGGGGGGAAGAGACGCTCCTGGGCGCGCGAGTAACGCCGGATTGGCTGAGAGGACGCGGAGCGGGTGCGCGCGAGGCCCGAACGCAGCCTCCCGCGGGCCGCAGACAGAAGCAATCCCCGGCCGAGCCCGGCGTCTCGGCCACGCTCCGCCGCCTAGGGCCAGCTCTCCCCGGCGGCCCGGCGACTCGGAGGGAACGCGCCGGGAGCCAGGCAGGCTTCCCCGTTCCCTATTGCCGGGCCCTCTCCTCAGCGGCCCTCCCGGACAGCCCGGGCGCTTTGCTGAAGGCGCCAGGGAAGCTAAGGGTGGCTTGGAAAGCCGCGTGGGTGGCGGAACGGCACCTAATGTGACAGAGCCCGCCGTGGGCGAAGAGAGAGGGATCCTGCCCCGCGTCATGTTGAGCACTGGCGCCCTCACTCACTCGCCCTGAGGAAGGATTCTCGCCTCACCTGTGCCCAAGGAACCCCCATCCACCTCCCCGCGGTGTCGGTCTACTACAAGACTCCTGCTAAGGGTAGCCTAAGGGTCTGCAGCTGGGCATCTCGAAAACTGTGGGCTGCTTCTTCACCCCACTGTTTTGTGACCCCATAGTTTTACAGCCCATAAACCTAATCTCCACCACAGTTCACTCAGAATGAGGAAAGACGACATTTTTTTTTCTCTCCTGAGCCTGAACCAGTTAGTTGCAGGAGCAATTGAGTTTTTCATGTCAGTATTTGTGAAATAGGAGATGACCATGAAAATACCTTTTATTTCGATTATTTCCAAATGCCTTTTGTAAAATGTTGCTGACAGTCACCTGTGGCTATTTTTGTGGGTTGCTGAAATTTTTTCCCTCTCCCTTTCAACTTCTGAATTAAAAGTGGGAACATGAAAATGTAAAGCAAAGTACCCCCAAAATGGACAAGGTGCATTGGAACACAATCAGAATTAGAGTTGATTTCAGCCAACAAGGCTGAGCCAATTGGAAGCCAGGAATTTCCCACCCAGGTCTCTCACCTGAGTGAATCAGCCGCCCAAGCCCTTGGACTTGGACCATCTTCCACGGGTCACCCAGGTGCATCAGCAGGAAGCTGGATCAGAACTGAAGCAGCCAGGAGCTGAGACAGAACCCATAAAGGATGCTAGTGTTGCAGGTGGGTAACTTGCTGTGCCACAGTGGGAACCCTTGTTTCTTGTTGCTCCATTTGAGGCATGAATTACTCCATGCAGAGACACAGAGAACTTTTCCAAAAGCATATACCTGCAGTAACCGAGGCTAAGCTAGACCAAGAGAATGGAACTCCATAAGGGTCTCCCACATGATTGGCAGGAACCCAACTACTTGAGCCATCACTTCTTGCCTCCTAGGGTTTACTTTGGCAGGACGCTGGAATAAGAAACATGGGAGATCATCCTGATCTGTGTCTTCCTAGCCCATGTGGGAGGCCTTACTGCACAGAGCATACCACAATTCCCCGTGGAACCTATGAAAATATCTTGGCTAACCAAGACCCCAACATGGCCTATTCATTGGGCATGCAGCAAGAGTGGTGGGCTGCACCCCAGTCTCAGTTATCTGCTTCTATAATGAACTGTGCTGGGACTTCCTTGGTAAACTACTCCAGGCAACAGAGTTTGCCCTGAGATACAGCTTCCCCTGCTTCCTGTGCTTCATGGCCTTTAATTTCATTGGAGGATCTAAAGAGAGAGACATATCTATTAGCCAGTCATAATGATGTTGTTTGTCAGAAGTACTGTCAGGACTGCCCTTCTGCCTGCCCCCTTTTCCTACCCTATATAAGCTTGTGACTTCTGTCAAACAGACCTCCCTCACCACCAGTTTGTCTCCAGTGTTTCTGCTACAGAAGAACACTGTTTACCTCACCACCGACCTCCCCATGGTCTTGGGGCCTGCTGGAAGGAAGACCCCCGAGAAAAACCCAGCAGAGACTGCCATCCAGGCTCAATGTGTCCCCAAGCTGGGTTCCAGTCACCATGACAAGCATCCGCCCCAATTCATGTTTTTTTCTGGATGCATATTTGCTAATATTTTTAGTAATATACAAAAGTTTCATACCAGATCATGTATTCATTCCCATACTTATCACCATAGATCCGGGTGGCAAATAGATTCTTAACTAGTTTCAAAATGAGGGAGATGGATGAGAAAGATATGTCTAAACAGAAAGATTTCCTTTATCTCAAAGATGAATAATTGGTTACATCGTTACCTTTCTAACCTATCTTTATTTTCTACAGCACCTCATTTTAAATAAAAAACACCATGAATGTTTGAAGAGATGTTTACCACTAGGCTCTGTGACTTTAAACAACTCGACCTACCTTTTTCATCATCCTTTAAATAAAAGCTAGTAGATTAAATTAGCACCCTTTAAGTGGTGTTGTACTTCAAATATACCCTTTCCGCATAAAATAGTCCATAATTATTCACAGAAGAAAAGTGGCATTTTTGTTTCACAAAACAATAGCAGAGGACAAGGCACTAGGTTTTTGCATGTACTTCATATGTTGACTTACATGGTTAACCAGGCTGGATCCCTGGGATGAGTTGTTTGTATGAATGGCTTAGGGTTCTGTTGAATCCATGGATTCCAGTGCTAAGACACTGAAATGAGGCTTTGAGAAACTGGGATGAGGTTCCTGCAGTGTAATATGGAAGGTGGAAAGCCTCCTAAAGAGGTTGTTTCTAGGATATAGAGAACTGCATCCTAAGTTCACAGCAGTTTGGCTGTGATTCATGTCTGTTGTGTGTGACCCCAACTTAACAACAGCATGCCACCACGATAGAGATGACAGGAGCTAAGGCTCCTCAAGCAGGATGTACTTGGCACGTGTTTCCAGTTTCAAGATGGTTCCATAGAGCTGAGGCTTAGGTTGTGGGTGGAAGAGGGGCGTGATATGGATTTCTCCTCTGTGGTATGGCTGTATGAGCAGCAGGCAGACAGCTTAACTAGGCTCGGGTGACCAGGAGGACTGTATTTGAATCTCCTGCAGTTAAGACTGTAGGTGTCCCTGATACTAATGGAGGCCAACTCTTGCACAGGAGGAAGGCCTGACCAGGGAGACAATGTGACAGAAACAGTGTTCCCTTGTCTGTGCGGCTGTGTTAGTCCCTCTTACACTGTGCCTGTGCTCATTCCCTGCTGTTCTCCTGAGCTCACTCCCAATTGCACCAGTCTAAACGAGGTTGTCCATTGTGTTGATGCATTTTTGTGGAACATACAGGTGTTAGGTACCTGTAAGCAGCCATCTTGGTAGCAACACATTTAGTGTTTCTGTTGTTGTTGTTGTTCTTTAACAAGAATTTGTCTATACTGCCTTCAGTTTTTAGGATTCATAATATGTAAGTCAAGTAAAGATAGTCTCAAGCTTGAAAACTGAAGAGGGATGCTTAAGTGACATTTAAAAAAATTTCAAAAGAGTCATGCTTTTCTTAAATATTAATTGGTTTCCATGTAATCAAAACTTAGCGTAAAGCTCAGTTTCCCCTAGAAAAAATTGTCACCATAAAAGCAGTATATCTTTCTAACCAAATACTCTCATTTGTTTCAAGGTTGGCTAATACTTATGCAGGGAGCTGGATGGGAAGTGGAGCAGCTGGGATATGAACCAGCGCCCATTATGGGATCTCGGGTGTGCAAGGCAAGGACTTTAGCCAGCAGGCTACTGTGCTGGGCCAGTAATATTTTGTCTAATGCCAAAATTCCGTAGTTTCTTATAAATCTTTTGCTGTCTATAAGTATATTTTCAGAGGGCTGATGTTGTAACACAGATGTAGCACTGCATTCTGCCATGTCAGCATCCGATATGAGCACCAGTTGACTTCTTGTCCAGCTCCCTGCTAATAGCCCTGGGAAAACAGCAGCAGAAGGCCTTAGTGCCTGGGATGGAGGTCCAAGCTCCTGGCTCTATCCTGACTCAGTTCCTGTCATTGTGGCCAGTTGGGGAGTAAACCAGTAAACATCCCAAAGATGTTTCTTTATCTGTCTATCTCTTCCTCTATACCTCTGCCTTTCACATAAGTGAGTAAATATTGGAGATAAGTGAATAAAAAAGTAAATAAATAAATAAGTAGATAAATAAATTTAGCTTTAAAATATACCTTTACAGATTCAAGTCAAACTTAAGATAAAGAAGTATTTCTGGTTGGCTAATTTTGCTAATTACCAGAAATTATAAGGGATTATTTTGGATTATAAATTGTATCCTTATAAATCAACCATCCCATATTGGCATGAGGTATGAAATTAAAGACAACCTAGAGTGAGAAACAAATCTGAAATCCTCAGGGGTTGAAAACTGATGGTAATTTGCACATGATGGCTTTAAGAGGCCTCAGATTTGGCACTCAACTTTCTGTTGCCATCTATTTTTTTTACTGTTCCTTGGCTAAATCCAGAACAGAGTGTTTGATATCACAATGAGAAGACGGGGCCAGTGTTATAGTGTTGCAGGTCAAGCCACTGCTTGTGATGCCACATCCCATGTAGGTGCCCATTTGTGTCCCAGCTACTTCACTCGCAATCCAGCTGCCTACTAATAGCCTGGGAAAAGAAGTGAAAGATGGGCCAAATGTTTGTTCCACTGCCACCCATATAGAAGACCCAGATGAAGCGCCTGGCTTAGGGGTGGCCCATTTTGGCCATCTAGGGAGTGAATCAGCAGCTGGAAGCATGGTGAGGGGTGTAGGGAGGGGGTATGTTCCTTTCACTGTAACTCTGATTTTCAAGATAACTCTTTAAAATGAAAAAGATGAACAAGACATAGTCCTGATGAATAGCTGAGTTAACCAATAATGGCAATATAGTTCATTTAGTATTATGATAGAAGTGACCCTTATGCAGGGTTTCCAATGTGACCATGCATTAGAATTTTACAATGAAACTTTTAAATAATATAGTTGATTTAGCTGCATGCACCAAAGATCATGATTTAACTAATCTGAGGAGGGATCTAGGTTGTTTAAAGACTTTTTCAAAGCCCACCAGAGAATTCTTTTTTGCAGCTAGGATTGAAATTTAATAGGATAGGAGGACACCAAGCTCAGTTCTTAAGAAAGTCAAGCAATAGTCAAGCAGAAAAGGAGAGCTTCAGCTGTCTACAATAGCAAAGACATCGAAACAACCCAGATGCCCATGAAAACACAAACAGATAAAGAAACTGTGGTACATCTGCCTCATGGAATACTACTCAGTCATTAAAAAGAATGAGACTCTACCATTGGCACAAAATGGTCCCAACTAGAGGTCATTTATGCTCAGTGAAATAAGCCAATCCCCAAATGACAAATGCCATATGTTCTCTCTGATATAAGGCAACCATCATACAAAATACAAGTTAAATAGATACATAGGTACACACATATTATATACATATATGCTCATAGATGAACAATATAATGGAGAATAACATGGAAGTGAAAATATGTTACAGTATGTATCTCTAACTTTCAATAAAATTGTTAAAAAAAATGTTGACAGTAGGATATTAAACTTTCTACCATTGACTACAATGCCACAATATACCTAGCAGAACGTTTGACTTGTGACTGTTGATGAAGGACTATACTATTGTAATCACATGGGAAAATCAGTGTGTCGGGGGGGGTGTTAAGAGGGAGAATCCCTGTGCCTATGGAACTGTATCATGAAAAAAAATTATATATGCTTATGCAGCTATGGTAATCTAGTTGGAAAAGAAGCTTAAACCAAAACAGTAGTACTTGGAAGGTAGACTAGATTACTAAGAAGAGTTGGATGCTATTCATGATAAAGGAAGAACAGTCTTACAACATACCTTTCCTTATTTTGTACTTACTTTTGCTCATTTGATGCATCTGTCTAGAATTAAATACTTCAGAGGTGGAGAAAAACTCCTTTTTTACAAAAGTGTTAACAAATCCCAATGTGGATTGAATCTAGTCTTTTAAAACCCAAAAGTGACCAAAGTAGAGGCTGTTTACAATCCCTAAATGACTGACATGCTTAAGGCCAGGCATCCAACGTTTCCACCCAGATTTGTGATGGAAGAGAGGGAAAACAGCACTAATGCAAAGGTTTGAGAGATTTTAATGAACACAAATGGCTGTGCTAGTCTTTAAATCTGTCCAAAGCAAATGGAGTCAAAGTCTTCTAATCCTTCAGAGCTTCATCTGGCAGTGACCTCAGAAAAAAGAGCCTTCCTCCTATATCATCCAACTGACTTCCTTTAGACCCCTGCTCTTCTGAGTAGGACTTTGATCCCAGGATTCTCTAGATGATAAGAAAATAACAAACAAAAAAGGTAAAACTTTGAGTGTCCTGACAGTCAACTTGGCAATACCTCTATAAAATATTAAATTAGCATGTAGGCTAGCAAATGTATTCTAAAAATCTATTTAGGGGTTTGATTGTTTTAATACAAAAAAAAAGTTCTTACCACATTGGGGTCATGTCTGCCAGTAACTGTTCTGTCCATAGTTGTGGTCCCCTTTGTACCTGATGAAAAACATTAGGAAAATGAGGGCTTTTGTTGATGGGGATGGGGAGGCCTATTTTGAGTTATATGGCTATTACATTCATCACAGCATACTTGTGATGTGAATTTTCTAATTATCCTTTCAGAAAAAAACTTTATTAAATAATATTTTTTAATTGGGGTGCTGGACTTCTTTTCTACTGAGAGCTTATAGTTAAATTATATTGACAGGTAGAGAGAGACAAAGCTCCCCTTAGTTGGTTCACTTCCCCAAATAACTGCAGTGGTCAAGGCCAAAGCCAGAGCTGAGAATTCACTGTACATCTCCCAGGAGGGTACCAATAACCTAATTACTTGAGTCATCACCACTGCTTTCCAGGGTCTTCATTCACATGAAAATGGAGCTAGGGATGACGCTAATTATCAAACCCAGGCACCCAGACTTGAGATGTAGGATTTCATATCCACAACCCCACCTTTAACCCATTATAAATTTTAAATAAAAGAATGGTAAATCATGTGCCTATATACACACCCTCAGAAAACCCAGCTCTGTATTCTACAACAATGATCAATGGTGAATAACAAAAACAAAAGATAAAAGCAGGGATGGAGGAATAGAGGGAGAGAGAATGACTGGCACAAGTTGAGCGGGAAAGGGGAAGTAAAAAGAAGAAAGTTGAAGAATTGTAGGGTAGGCTCTGTGGTTTGTCTTAACAGTTGCCCAACTCAAATATAGAGACCCCCCACTCCCAGTTAAACTTGAACTTCATTGTCAAATAATTTCAGACAAAATCTGGAACACAGCTGTACTAAAAATTCTGTTGTTTATCTGAAATTCAAATTCAGCTGGGGATCTTTTTGTTCAGTACCTAGGTAAACTAGACAGCTCACTATTTTATGAGTGTGTGACATGAACAAATTACAGGATCTATTGTCAGCCACTAAATTAATCCTGGAGGTGGGCATTTAGATGGTTCAGATGCCATGTCCACCTTGGAGTAGCTGGGTCTCTAGCTTGTGATTCCACCTTCTTACTAATGCAGACTCTGGGAGGCCACATTCATGGCTCAAGTCATCAAAACTCTGACACCCACATTGAAGACCTAGACTGAGCTTTTTTTTTTTAATCTTTGCCTCCCTGAGTCTCAAAAATATTTTTGCTTAAATACCTTAAGATTAAGAAAGGTACAGTTTATTTTTTGTTTTAATTTATATATTTAGGGGGAAACTTTTTGTATTTTTACAAAAACATTTTTATTGGAAAGGCAGATTTACAAAGAGAAGGAGAGACAGAAAGATCTGTTTGCTCCCCAAGTGGCCATAATGGCCAGAACTAAGCCAATCTGTAGATAGGATGCAGGAGCCTCTTCCAGGTCTCCCACATTGGTGCAGGGTCCCAAGGCTTTGGACCATCCCCTACTGCATTCCTAGGCCACAAACAGGGAGCTGGGTGGGAAGTGGAGCAGCTGGGACAGGAACCATTACCCATTTGGGATCCTGGAACCTGCAAGGCAAGGATTTAGCCACTGAACCATTGCACCAGGCCTAGAAAAATTTGGATTCTCCCCTTGTAATTATGTGACACTTTATAGGAAGAGAGTGACTTAGCTCCGAAATTAGCTTCATAACATACCAATGCCTAAACCTGACCTTAATATTGAGAAGGCTCAGATGGCCTCCAAGTTTAAAAAAGTCCGTGCTTGAGAGCAATGTTTATCAAGGTCCTAGATTGGAGGTAGCTGCAGTTTTCCGCCCCTGCCTTCCAACATTTTGGCTTGACACTACTATTTTCGTTTCAGCAGCACCTGCTGAAGTGTATTTTAGCCATGAGGAAGAGTAATGCTAAAAGAAAGGAAAGGTTAAAACCAGGAAGAATGCATTACCTTCAGAACAGACGCAGTTATACAGTAAATAAGAGTATTCATTTCCCACCTCCCTGAGCTTTAATTTGAATTGAAAAATGTAGCAAGCATAATATTCGTGTCAAACCTCCTAGTTCTTCTCAAAAGAATTCAAGGAAATGCTAAGAGGTTGTGGCTTGGCAGTGAGTGCTGTTGAGGGAGGAGAAAAATACAGCTGTCAAAGTCAAACATCACAAGTTATAGTGTTATTGAAGATAAATCTCCTTAAACAGCAGCAGGTATAGTGGGGAATTCAGCTAAATATAGAGAATGTTTGTGCCTCTGCACTCTAAGATAGGTGACAGCCAAAGGTCACAAATTGTCCTCTTAACTCTATAGAAGCCAAGGATATGTGCCATTTTCCCATGAGTCAAGTTGCAGTTTTACCCTGGGGGAGAAACAAGGCTTTCAAAAATGACCTGAAGACCAAAAGATCTACACCCAGGTGTAAATAACACAAAAATGTTTTTTCTCTTCTAGAAGACTAGGTGAGGCAGTCTGCTAAGCAATGGTAATGTGACATCTGGGCCTCAAGGGAATATGCAAGCAGGCATTGCTTATAGTGTAACAAAGTCAGTAAGATTAACACAGGCTTGCATTTTGCCGAATAAATAGATCACACCACCGGCAACCCAGCCAACCAGCACACAGGACAGAGGGAGGGAGGATTCTTTGCCAAAAACAGTGGTATAAACCCTCCTTGTACTTGGAAATGCCTTGAACAGAAGGGCTTATACCCTGATTTATTGGCAGATAAATGTTCAAAATTACATCCACCTTTTCTCTTAGATTTATGAAATCCAATTCTTTTGAATCTGGAGGAAAAGTAATACTATCTGAGGTTTAAGTATTTTAACTTCAAATAATCACCACCTTATGCAATTGCCTAATGCGTTTCTTACTTTCATGTCCCAATGGCTTGATTTATCTGTGGTACGAAAGAAAAGCGATCTTGAATAAAGATTGTGGAGGAAGTGGGCAGTGACTTTTCTGGAATGGAGGGAATATAGATCCAGAAGTAGAATAATAGGTAGAGCTTGTTCAGCAGAACTCCAAGTTTAATATGGTCTAATCAAGGCTGCCAGGGATACAGTTTAATATGGTCTAATCAAGGCTGCCAGGAGTACAGTTTGGTACCACAGAGTGTGGAACAAAACATTAATAGGATTTTTTCTTTCATTTGAAATATAAATATGGTACATTTTGTCCTGATGGCAGGAGAAGGCCAATGTCTCCCACAGCATTTCACGTTCCTAATTACTTATTTATGGACTTGAAGCCTGATGTGATTGGTGCCACCTACTGGGATAAATGCAGAAATACAAATCTCTCAATCTTTTGGAGACTTCTTTATTCGTGAACAAATGAACAGAGTACTGGTTTGGATTCAAAGCACAGCATTTAGAGATGGAAAAGGAATGAAAAAAGAATCACACACTTTTGCAACCTATTGTTACAATCTAGTCTAAGAAATGAACTTTGACTATATATTCAGTCTCCTGGCATCCGTGAGCTTGTTTCTGATTCTATAACATCTAGCCCATAGAATCGAGGTGAGGGTTATGTAAAGTGCTAGGTTTCCGATATGCTCTATAGTATAGTAAGATTAGGTTTGGATTTTGCTTTTGAGAGGAGAAACGGAGCATACATGTGCCAATCCAATACTTTACTTCTCACATGCCAGCCATTAGGAGAGCTGGGTCAACGCCTCATCTAGTAGCTGGAAACCCCGTTAAGTTCTTCTATGTGGGTAGCAAGGACCGAGATGTTGGAGCTGTCACAGCTGCCTCTGTACTGGATAGAAGCTGGAGCTGGGAGCCAGAACTGGGAACCGAACCCAGGACTCCACTGTCAGATACTGGCATCCTAACCAGAACACTGAATATTTATTTCCTTAATGGTGGTTAAAAAAAAAAAACTGAGACAAAACGATTTGCCCTGGTCAAATAACTGATATGTCTCAAAGCAGGACCTCCAACTCATGCACCTCACTCTAAACTGAATGCTTTTTCTGTTACATTGCTAGTTCCCAAAAGTTGGTGAAAAGTTGATAATTTTAGGTGGTAGCTAGAATAAATTGAGGAGGTGTTGGAACATAACACTAAATATTATTAAAAAAAACAGAGAAAATTATTTCATAATTCATTCAAATTCAACGGAATCAAAGAGAAGATTTTAATTTAGCACTGGTTTTCTTTAAATTAGTCTGTTTGGGCCCAGAGCCGTAGCCTAGGGGCTAAAGTGTTCACTTTGCATGCACCAGATTCCCATATGGGCACTGGTTCCTATCCCAGCAGCCCCACTTCCCATCCAGCTCCCTGCTTGTGACCTGAAAAAGCAGTTGAGGACAGCCCAGAGCCTTGGGACCCTGCACCCAACATGGGAGACTCGTAAGAGGCTCCTGGCTTCAGATTGGTACAACTCTGTTGTGACAGTTTAGGGGGTGAATCATCTGACAGAAGATCTTCCTCTCTGTTTCTCCTCCTCTCTGTGTATCTGACTTTCCAATAAAATTTAACAAAAAGTCTGTCTTGCTAAATGTACTTCTTCATAAAGACAAAATAGGTTTCAAGCTTCTACACTTTCTATCCATTTAGCTTTTCTCACTTTCTTTTTGTATGTTTATTCTATTTTTTTTTTCCTGTTATGGCCAAGTGTATATATTTTTTCACTTAAGATGCTCTTACAGGACCTGGCATGGTCACCTAGTGGCTAACATCCTCCCCTTGCATGCGCCAGAATCCCATATGGGCACCAGTTGGGATTGCTCCACTTTCCTTCCGGCTCTCTGCTTGTTGCCTGGGAATGCAGAGGAGGACAGCCCAGAGCCGTGGTACCCTGTGAGAGAGACTCAGAAGAAGTTTCTGGCTTTAGGTCAGCTCAGCTCATTGCGGTTATTGGGGAGTGAACCAGTGGATGGAAGGATGAAAGATTTTTCTCTCTTTCTCTTCTTCTCTGTAAATCTGTCTTTCCAATAAAAATAAATCTTTAAAAAAGATTACAGGAGCAGACATTTGATCTAGAGGTTAGGAGGCCCACAGCATATATTATTGTGCTGGATTCAGGTCCTGGCTCCACTTTTGAGTCCAGCTTCTTGCTGTTGAGCATCCAAAAAAAGAAAAATTGGCAAGTGTTGCCTGATATGGTTGGGTTCAGCTATTAAAAAAAAAATCCTCTGAGAATGATCAAAAGTCAGAAATAGAAAAGAACCACAAGCTACTGGAGGGAAGCCTCTGTATTTTTTTTTCATTCCATATTCATGCTAGTATTAAAGCAAAAAACAGATATAAAGCCTGTATTTCTGCTCACTTTCCCATAATTTTTTTTCTAGGAAACTCTGATGCCTAGTCCTAATGTAACTTATATGTAAGTCTTGCATTTAATGGTTCTGGAGGTGCAAGGTTTAGGGCCGATTCCCTCTAGAGCTCTAACGTGGCATAGGGCCTCACATTTCAAGAGACAAAGAACAGCAGTGTGTCTATGTGTTCTGTTTCTTTATGGGGGAATTCAAACCAAATTTATAGTCCACCTCTAGCAACTATAAACTACTTCCATTGTGCTACTTCATGTATTTACCTGGCTACAGTTTATTTTCCTTATCCCTTGATTTGCTCATCTATTTATTTCATCTACATTTCATTTTTTTTCTTTATTTGAAAGGTGAACAGACAATGATCTTCCATTCCCTGGTTCATTCCTTGAATGCCTGCAACAGTTGGGAGGGTACCTTGCTGAAGCCAGGTCCCATGTGAGTGGCAGGAAACCAACCACCTGAGCCTTCATCCACTACCCATCCCCCTGACTCCCAGGGCATCAGCAGGTTCATGAAAAATCTGTATTCACACACACAAGAGAAGCTCTTGAAAAGCATTAAAAAATGTGGATTTCAAAAATTGTTTCCATAAAAATAAGCCTTTTAGCTCCTTTTCTATGAACTTCTTGAAGTACTCTTATAGACAATTCAGATACATAAATACTTGAAAATTGTTTTCCTGCCTTTCAGAGCCACTCATTTACTCTATATTTTATGGGGAAAATAATATGATTTCCTTCAGTGATGCTACAAAATTTTGGGGTGATAGCTGTGAAACTCCCAGAAGAACAAGGGATGATAAAATTCACAAGCTTTTGTGAAATGTCTCTGAGGTAGTGGAATCAATTCCAACAATATTCATGAGATCAAAGAACTGTTAATTCTTAGTAAAAGAGGAAAAATGAAAAGTGAACCAATATACATAGTAGTTCGTCTTTACAAAGGAAAACAATTTTCTCCATAGAGAATCTTTACCTTGGTATGACAGCTCCTTAGTAATAACAATAATGATGACAGTGAAAAAACCTCTAACATTTAACTTTCTGTTTCCAGGCGTGATATTGCTTGCTTATAAGTAATACAATATCTGATGTAAAACAAGCCAAACAAAACCGCAAACTGCATATTGATGACGCTGTACGTACCTTGGAACCCTGGAAGATTTAAAAATGCTTGCTTTGGCTCAAAATTTTGCTGTAAGTATAGTGATAATTTCAGGTCATTGGCCTTTTGATAGTTCTTTAAGGCTTCAATTCTCAGCTCAATCACTTTGCCGTGAAAGTCATTCTGAAAGAGGACATTTTAAAAAAATTACATAGTATTGATCTTTAAATTTAGTGTTACCTGAATATTCTTCTATCAAAAGTAAAACATAAGGGCTGACACTATGACTCAACTGGATAATCCTCTGCTTGCAAGCATGAGCATCCCATTATGAGTACCAGTTCGTGTCCTAGCTGCTCTGCTTCCAGTCCAGTTCCCTGCTTGTGGCATAGGAAAGCAAAGGAGGATGGTCTAAACCCTTGGGATCCTATATCCATGTGAAAGACCTGGAAGAAGCTCCTGGTTCCTGGTTTCAGATTGGCTCAGTTCTAGCCGTTGTGGCCAGTGGGGGAGTGAACCAGCAGATGAAAGATCTTTCGGTCTGTCTCTGTAAAACTGCCTTTCCAATGAAAACAAATAGATGTTTGTTTTTTTTTTTTAAGTTGGTCTATAATGGCTGGGTAGAAGTCAGCATTTAGTGGAGTGGTTAATATTCTACTTGATACGTATACTTTCTACTTCAGAATGCCCATATTTGAGTCCTGGCTCCAGCTCTGCCTTGAGCTTCCTGTTAATGCAGACTCTGGGAGGTGGGATAGAATGGCCTTGGTATTTGAGTTGCTACCACTGATGTGGGTGTCCTGGATGGAATTCTAGCCTTCTGGCTTCTACCTGGACCGGCCTCAGATGTTATGAACTTTTTGGGAAATGAATCAGCAAGAGAAAGATCTTGTGATGTCACTGTCCATTCTGCCTTTCAAATAAATAATTAAGTAAAAAAAAAGTTAAAGGCTTGGATAAAGTTTTTGTGCCCCATTTCAAGCAGAATAAAAATCAAGAACCTAAGAAGAAATACTGTCTCTTCTAAATTACTCATGGTGGAGCCAGAGATGGATTTGTTTTGCCATTTGCTGATCACACATTTGGTTTAGCCAGATGAGTGGTAAATAGGATGAAAGGATTTGTCATAACAGTGTGAAGCTAAAAGTGGCTATTTGTATGCATGATCTCATATCAGGCTTGGAAGACCTTAGTACCTGGTGGATGTTGGCTTGTTCCTGATGCTTGACCCACTCCATTTTCCTCTGTTGCTTTTCCTGGTGGAAGAAAGAGCCTCTAGGTGACAAAGTAAATCAAGATCAGAAATCAGTTTCCTTCAAATGCTGAAAATATTTTATAAAATTATGATGTCATAAATTGACTATTAAATCAATTTCAACTATACAATTCTTGGGGCCAGGGTTGTGGAGCAGTAAGTTAAATGACTGCTTCTGACATCAGTATTCAATATCAAAGGATCAGTTCAAGTTCAGGGTGTTTCTTACTTCCAATCCTGCTCCCTGCTAATGCTCCTGAAAAAGTAATGGAGGATGTCCCAGGTATTTGATATTCTGGATTCCTGGCTTTGGTCTGGCCCAGTCTCGACCATTGCAGCTATTTGGGAAGTGAACCAGTGAATGGAAGAACTCTCTTTCAGCTTTTCAACAAAAATAAATCTATAAACAATAGAAAACAAAAAACCCTATACAATTATCTTAATTGGCCTCATCTACACAATCCATTCTCTAAAAGGTAAATGAATTGTGAAATCAATAGGATCATTTTATGTGAATGAGTTGCTTGCTAGAAGATGAGATATAAACAAAATACTTCCAAATAAATTTTCAAAGATGCTGGCATTTTTTGCTATTGTGGAGTTGTCATTGTTTGTGTAATGTCTCTTACTTTAAACGTAATTTTCCATGAAGTTATGATGTCAGTCTAACTGAAATACAGTATCCTAGGGATAGCAGATATAAAAATTTGCGTTGAATCAGGAGCATACCATAGTTTAAGCTGATACTGCTGCCTTAAAGTTTTCTAATTTATGAGCTCTAAGAGCTACTAGTATTCAAAATGGTTGTATTACCTTCTTTATCTCCTTCACTTTTTCTGCAAATAATATCTCCAGTTCATTCTTGGTCCTCCTTGGTGGTAAGGGGGACTTGGATGCCTAGGACAAAAAAAGAAAGCCCAGGGAATGGGAGGTCCCAGGAAGGTCCCAGGAAGGAAGTGTTATGACTCAGCAAACGGACACGACACACCCCTAGTTGAGTAGCCCAGATGCTACCTGTTAGCATCCAAAATTAGTCCTGATTGTCCACAGCGTGGTTCCTGCTACATGATATCAACCGTCTTGAAATTTTCAACACATGAATTCACTTACATTTTCATCCTCAAAATCTTCCTTGGTTTTTATCTGTGGTGCTTTCTGTTGATCACGGAGTTCTTCTTTCTCAAATGTCTGTGGAGGACATTTTGGCAAAGGTTTAAATTAGTGAGCGTTAATGAGAGCAGTGGAAAACCAAAATGGGTCAAGGCTTTTGGTTCCTGCCAGTCAGCAACTTCTCAAGGCCTGACAGGGAAAAGTGAACTCCCAAATGAACCCTTCTATTTGCTCTCTCAAATGAACCTTCTGATAATGGAAGCCATTAAGTCAACTTTATTATATGATACTCTAAACCACTTACTACAGTACTTGCTTCACTCTACTACATTACATTTAACCCTAATGACTATTTGAGAATTTTTTGATTTGTATTTTGTAGATGAGAGAACTGAGACCTGTAGAGCTGTGAAAAAAAGGTGCAGACCTAGAATATATACTTACATATCTATCTTACCTAAGTTTTAAAAAATTGACTTATTTATCTTTTATTTGAGAGGCAGAGAGACACCCTAGGAGAGGCAGAAACAGAGACAGATGAAATGGTGTATTCCCCAAATGCTTGCAATAGCTGAAATTGGACCAGACCAAAGTCAGGAGCCTGGAATTCAATCTGGGTCTCCCATGTGGATCACAGCGACTCACGGACTTGAGCCATTGCCTGCTGCTCCCCAGGGTGTGCTGTAGCAGGAATCTGGAGTCCGAAGCAGAGTCAGGACTCAAACCCAGGCACCCTGACAGTGCTGCTGGCATCCAGAGTGGCATCTTAACTGCTGTGCCAAAGACCTGCTCCCAGAGCTGGTATTTCAGCCACATCTGTCTGACTCTGAAGCTGGAGTTCTTAGTCTCTAGGCAAGTTGCTCTTTGCTTCTCCCTGTCTGAGAAAAGCAAGGGCACTCAGAAAGCTTGCAGCAAGAAAGATAGGAAGATAAAACAAAGTTCCTATTAATTTTTTAAGATTTATTTTTATTGTAAGGTGAGATATACAGATAGGAGGAGAGACAAAGAGACAGATCTTCTATCTGCCGATTCACTCCCCAAGTGGCTGCAATGGCCGGAGGTGAGCTGATCTGAAGCCAGAAGGTTCTTCTAGGTCTCATATGTGGGTGCAGGGTCCCAAGGATTTGATCTGTGTTTCACTACTTTCCCAGGCCACAAGCAGGAAGCTGGATGGGAAGTGGGGCTACTAGGATACAAACCGGTACCCATATGGGATCCTGGGTGTGTAAGAAGAGGACTTTAGCCACTAGGCTATTGCATCAGTTCCCGCATTAATTTTTTTCAAGCCTCGCTGATTCGGTAGGGAAAGTTGGTCTTAAAATAAGATGGATGGACAATCCCTTGTACAAAGTCCTTAAGAGCTCTGGAGAAGGCTGATTTTGATATAGGAACTATGCTGGCACATTTCCTACTTGAGAACTAACATGGTCACTTCACAGAGGTGATCTGTAGCTGCCACTGACAACCAGAAACTGATCTTGGTACCAGACGCATGACTGGAATTTATCCTGATCATTTCTGGAAAAGTGAGTTGAAAAAAAAAAGGCAACCAGAAATCACATGGCACGTTTGTATCAGAAGACATAATCCACTCCTGCAGTGACAGAGTCTTTGAAAAAGCACTGTTATCTCAAGGACTTAGTCCACAAAGGAATTCCTCCCCTTATTCCCGGCTTCCCAGCAATAGCTTTAAGCAATGTAGCAATCATAGTAAAGTCATAGGGACATTAGAATTGGGTTTCATTGGTTCCTACATTCAACTTGAATTTATGGATTCTCTACTCTGTTTCGGCATCGTATTAGGTGCAAAGAGTTCGAAGTAATCAAAACATTGGAGGAATTTATATTCTAGAATGAAACAGGGAGATAAGACATGAGTTAAACATTAATAATTCAAAAATATAAGTTTATGAAAAGTTTATGAAAAAAAATAGTAGGTTGTGAAAGCTGTGGAGGGCACAAACAGAGTAGGAGGACTTCTCTGACATGGTGATATTTAAATTAAGGCCTGAAAGATGAGAATGAGCCAATCACAAAAAAATGACATTATAGGCAGAGGATAAAATAATAGGAAAGGCCTTAAGATAGAACAAAGCTTGGCACGTTTAAGGAACCATAGGTGATCAGTGTGTGGTTTTATATAAAGCAAGGGGAGGAATTCCAGGAGAGGAGATATGAAAAGTGAGCCAGATTGTACCACAATAATGAATGACTGACTACAAAGGCTTTTCATAAGAAGAGTAACATGTCCTGTTTTGTTAAGTGATAATTTTGGATGGTATGTGAAGAATAGATTGGAATGAGGCCGGGGCAGAAGCAAAGACATGAAAAATAAAAAAATGAAGGTGGGGGCCACCGGAAAGGAGGGTTCATCGCATTATCTTTAGGGCAATACTTTTGGGAGCTCCTTAGAAGCACACCTTGTTCCATAGCATCTCCATTTCTTTCCGAAGCATCTTGTTTTTCCTTTCCTGTGGGAGGGCAGAAAACCAAACAAACAGAAACATGTGTTTGTTCAGCTACCAGAGTGAAGTTGGAAGAAATTACTAAGACAATGGTGGGACAGGGATAATGGACATAGTAATCCACAGAGGAGGGCAATGAATGGCCTAGGCCAAAATCCAGGAACATGAGAGATAAGTTTGACAAAGTTAATGGCAAAAATGTTTTTAGCAAGCTATTATTTTAAAAAATAACTTTAATTACAGTGATTGTAAGCTGGTATTAAAACAAACGAGTTCCTAATTTATAAACATTTCTCCGGGGCTTAGCCCTACTAATATCTAATTTTATTTCTTTCCTTTTGCTTTCATGAGTATTTTCTATTCTTTCTGAAGTGTGAAGAGTTAAGCTGCTTGTATTCTTTAAACTCTAGATGAAAAAAAATTAAGTAAAAAAATTTTTTGCTAGCTAGTCTTGTTCTTTATATTCCATTTTACTTCTTTAGATCTCCTAAGACTGTCTAAACCAAGGAGATAAATGTGTTGGAGCATCACATGCTAGAAACACATCTTCTGCACCTGACAACAATGATGGAATTGAGTCCTTTGCAGGAGGCTGTTCCATAGACCATCTCCAACAGCTTACCAGGTTCTGTTTCATCTCCTCTGCTTCTTTGATGAGCTCCATGACTGGGGATTCATCAGACCCCTTTCCTGCCATGATCTGGCTCATGATCTGCAAACTAGAAGAGGGACATCATAAAACATACAGATCTCCAACATGGCAATATTCCACAGTGGAAAGACTGTCAATGAAGGCCATGATCTCTGGAGGTACAGAAGTTTCTTCTGGACATGCAAGGTCTATGTAAGTAGGATGCTTCTGTTCTTAATTGGCATTTTATTAGCTATCTACTCAGTAATGGATTTCATGCTCTTAAGTCTCCAACAGCTTTCCAATCCTTCAGAAATGTTTTGGGGTATGACTTCTGGAGAGAAAGGGGTGGTTCTTCCCTGTTAAAGGAAGAGGTTCAAGAACCTGATGTCTTCAGGATAAATATCAGAGTTATCTAGCTCCCCTGGCCATCCAGCTCCTCCTAATTCCCTTGATTCTCCAAATACAGACTTTTTAGTTTTGGGAAGAAACCACTAATTTTTTTATTCATAATATTTCTTTTTCTTATTATATTTTTGACAATCTTTACATAGTTAATTGGGGTAAAAAGATTCAAGGGGTATAGGAAAGTGGGTAAGACTATTATTTCCGTATTGTTTCTTTCATGTTTAAAGGGGGGCATTAAGGGAGAAGGCCCACCCAATTTCCCACCCTCCCCAGGTCCCGGATGTAGGGTGTGCTCCGAGGTTCTTGCTCAAGTGGAAACCACTAATATTTTTGTGGTAGTCCCTAGAGAATCAAAGCCATAAAGAAATTTCAAACAATGTTGTAATCAATACCAATTCTTTGTCTGTGTAAGAGGATATCCTTTAAAATTTATGTGGTGGGTGTTAGGCATTAAGATGCTTTGTTGGGATATCTACACCTCATGTCAGAATGTATGGGGTCCAGTCCCGACTCTGCTCCCAAATCCTGCTGTTTGTGTGTACCCTGGGAAGAAACTGGTAACTCCAGTGGTTGATTACTTGCCACTTACATGGAAGGCCCAAATGGAGTTCCTAGCTCTTAGCTTATGCCTGTGCAGGCCCCAGTTATTGTAGGCATTTAGGGAATGAACCATCAAGTAAGTTGTTCTACCTTCTGTCAATACTCTATCACAGGCATCTCAAGGAGCTTGGGGTTTTAGAGAACTGCAGAACAACATTCCTGAGACTAGAAAGGAATCAAATAATTGATAGGTTTAAGAGCAGTAAGAACTCTAGTAATTATGACATCAACTGCAATGTATTTTTAGAGTCTGGACCCCAATCCAGAGGGTTCCTTGGCTCAGAAAAAGAATCACGTTCACGTCTTGGCATTTAAAACAAGACTCATTTATGCTAAAGTGAGTCTACTAATATGAAAAAGGAAACAATCAGTGTAATCATGGTAGGCTTGGGTGACTAAAGGTTCTTACATGTTTCAGAGGTGGGTGCTTCAAGGGGGAAGACTAACAATTATAGCCTTGTGATGGGCTGAGTCACAGAATTACTAAAACAAAACAAAACAAAAAAACCCAGAAAATTCGTTGTGGACTGTTTTGGTGTCTAGAAATTCTTACCTTACTAAAGCTGAGGGTCCAACCTTTTCTTTAAAACAAACAAAGCCAGCAATTGTTATTAGCCATTGCCCATCCTATGGAGATAAATCTCGGGAGTCCTTCTAACTAGGAATCCTCACTGTGGAACCTTTACCTTCTCTGTTTTTCTTCCAAGTTGGACATCAACTTCTGGAATAAGAGGTTGTTCTTGTTTTCTAGAGGTTTTAGCATCTCAAGTAGTTCCTGCTTCCTTAGCTTTAAGTCCTCATTCAGTTCCTTCAAGTAGTTGTCATCTATTTTAGAACTTCTGTGGGAAGGGATATTAGCCAGGGATAATAAGGAAAGATCCTCATTTCCTTCTAGAATAGTTACCATTTAGCGTCTTTCCATCAGAAACTCACCTTTTTGAGGGCAAGTAAGATCCCGAAGAGCTTGCACCACTTGACATCTTGAACGCAAATGCTTACTCTATGAATAAAGAGGCCTTCTTGAAAATATGAGCCTTATTTTCCATCCAGTTAAGTCCTCATTTTTGTGCTGCTGTTCTTAAAACGCCTGTTGCATTGGACTGATTTTAGCAGCAGCTTGAGGTCACAATGGCCCACAGCATCAGCAGGTATTCTACACAACTCCAACATCAATGACACATTGTTGTCTAAAAACACTAGCTACGCCCAATCAATTCTTGTCTTAGCCTTACTCAAATCCCAAAACTCTAATTTTTAAGTCTTGAATTGAATAAAATTGCAGCATGTTTGTGTTATGGCATTCCTATTGTGTTAGAAAAGCGTAGCTTATAAAAAAATTAACTCATTGACACTGTGATGGACAACCCTATGGGGAATGCCTATTATCTATAGGGCAGACCACTGTAGTCTATCAATGAAGGAAAGAGAAAGACAAAAGAATCTACCTTCTGGAGATCTTAGGATTAAGGGATATTTCTTTAAAAAATTTTTTTGTACAATTTAGTTGACAGTGGGCTCACCCCCTCCCCCAAGATTCCCCCCTCCACTCTGTTTTCCCCTCTAGGTTCATAATGTGTGTCCATCGTGAATTTTCCCAAGTTAAGGGATATTTCTAAATGACATTTAAGTAAATAGAGGTTAAAATGGTAAAGATAAGATGAACTAAGCAATTAATCCTTAAAACATGTTTGAGAATAATGTTAAGGTAAAAAAATATCAAAAACATAACAAGAAGATATAATTTGGAAAGATCCATGTTGTCTCCATGTTCCTTCATAGCCAGGAAACCTGTAATTTTAGGATTATATTTCAAACTGATATTGCTTCTACTTTTCTCTTACATTAGAACTCTTCTTTAAAAAAATGTCTGGATCTTGAAATCTTCATGATGTCATTTAGTGAGTAGACGTTATTCCGAAGAGTTAGTCATATGTATATTTTATGCCTTTATTTCTTTTGTTGAAAACTTTGTAAATTATTTGTTTATTGATTTGAGAAGGGGAAAGTGGGGGAGAAACTCCCATCTGTTGGTTCACTCCCCAGATGCCAACAATGGCTGGGTTTGGGGCTGGAGCAGGACTGATGCCAGGGACTGAATTGAATTATCTCTGACACATTCTTTCAGTGCAGTTTTAGAGTCATATTCTTAGGAAAGTTCTCAAATGTGAATTAAATCTTGTCAGAATCTCTTTTGCTGAGCGTTTCCAGCCAGTTCATAGGGCTGTTCTCCAAAATAATTATTACTCTCTTTTTGGAAAAATTAAAACGTAAGATACTGTAGTATAAATAATGCCACACTTATGTTGTTGGAACTTGGTTTGGATTTTGTTTTCGCTGTGAGAACTATAAACAGGTTACCAAATTCTCAGGCCTTTGTTTCTTCTCTTTAAAAATGGACTGAGAATGCTGATTTGATAGGCTTGTTGTGATCATGAGATATAATATCAGGTAAATTACATGGCTCATGCTATGTGGTTCACATTTCAATGAGGTTTATTTGGTTGGTTTGGGTTCCAGAATTCTTTTTTTTAAAAAAAGATTTATTTTATTTTTATTGGAAAGGCGGATATACAGAGAGCAGGAGAGGCAGAGAGGAAGATCTTCCGTCCGATGATTCACTCCCCAAGTGAGCGCAACGGCCTATGCTATGCCCATCTGAAGCCAGGAGCCTCTTCCGGGTCCCAAAGCTGTGGGCTGTCCTCAACTTCTTTCCCGGGCCACAGGCAGGGAGCGCCCATATGGGATCCCGGGTGTGCAAGGCGAGGACCTTAACCACTGCGCCATTGCGCCAGGCCCTGGGTTCCAGAATTCTTTAAGGCTTTAATTCAGCAATTAGATTTTTTTTTAAAAAGCTGATTTCTGTGATCATGATGAAGCTTCAATATCAGAGCTCTTGATTTACACAGATCTTTGAAAAAACCCCAGGATCTCATTTGTGTTTGTAAATTTATACTCTTCTTCCCTTCTTCACCATCTTCTCCTAGTTTCTTTTGAAAAAAGAGACTTTCTAAATGTGTATACTTACAAATATGCATGTTCCTACAGAACCTGGATCTTTCCCAGTTTAAAGAGGATATAAATTCCCCCTAAGTATCTTACACACTGAACTTTCTTTTTTTTTTTTTTATGGGCAGACATTGTGGTACAGAAGACACCACAGCCTGCTCTTCTAGGTATTTGGCGGGAGTGAAATTAGAGCTGGAGGATCTCTGTCTCTCTTTGATGCTCTTTCAAGTAAAGAAATATAACTGAACATTCTTAAAAACTTTTTAGACAGTCATTGCAAACATTTTCACTAAAAAAATACTTGCATGTGTCATTTCTAAGTTGCACACATTAGCAACCAGTATGAAATTAGAACAGTCCTACCATGTCAACCATAATTCACATTGGTTTCCCTAGGAATATCCATAAAAAGTTTATATCCATAAAAATTTCAGATTTAATGAGAGTGAGCAAACTCTTCAGAATTAAAAGAAGGAACTGGGTACACTAATTATTATTAATAGCAGCTGAAACTGTGTATATGGCAAGTGGCAGCAAATAGTAGAGGACAAAAATGGCATTGATCACTAAAGCATAACCTCTTTAAATTTCATATTCTGACATTTGGCTGGCAGGACTATGATAGAATTTTAAAACATTTAATGAGTAGGCAGCAACCCAACTCACCTTTCTTTCTGTCCTTGCTGTGAATGATTCAAACAGAAAGAACACTTACTATTCTGATGTGGCCTATACTGTAACCAATCAGCAACTTACATTTCTTCACATTCCAAAGCCCATGTCTTTAGCTTGGAATGTGGCTTCCGAGGACAAAGTTGACTTGTAATCATGTACACAGACATTATAGTGAAGAGCTTAGAAACAAAACCAAAATCAACCTTAAAAGGTAATAAATGGTGCACAGTATTATGCTCTGAACAGGGGCAGGAGAAAATGAAGCTGTGAATAACTGGTAAAAGTGGAAGAGAAGGACATTAGGTACTATTTTCTTGAAGTAGAAAGTTAGGTCATTTGTTGTTTGAGATGGTATGCTATGAACCTCTGATGAGTGATGACTAGAGATTGAGAGTAACACCCAGGCTGTGGAAGCGGAAACCAGCTGGGCAGGAGTGAAGTGACTGCCAACTAGAGCAATGGGTCAAGGTGAATTTGGAAATTGCAGGTTTTACATGGCACAAATCAGCAGCTGGACAGTTTTTCCCCAGAAGTAATTGACAAGCTAGAAGCAGCAGGAGAGAGAACAGATGGTTGTTTGACTCTGGGCTGGGACTTGGCAGAATGGATCAAAGCAGGAGTTCAAGAGTGCAAGAGAGCTGAGCACGCTAGGGAGAGCCTGTCAGGGGAAAAAATGAAGAAGGGGTTGGCTAAAGCAGGAGAAACCCAAGAAGGGGCTGAGACTGGAGTGTGTGTTTGTGTGGAGGGGGAAGGTAGAATAACAGAAATTACAGTTGACAAACATACTTCTTATGAAATAACTTGTGGAGCCTCGTCACCATTTAGATAAATTATAGTAGCAATTCATATGTTTTTTTCTGCTGTAAACTTTATACGTGTTGCTTCATCTCACTGCATAATATTCACTGCAATTCATGTGGTACCTCAAAATAGGCTTTATAAATGAGATGTTCACAATGACTTCATCCAACATTATAGCATTTGATTTCAGTGTCTGTTTAGGAAAAGTGTGATAACTCTATAATTAGAAAACTCAAGAGCAATACCATTTGAGTGTTAGTTTTGCCAGTGGAAAAACAGATTAGTATAATTAAGCCAGGTCTCCAAGAGTAGAAGTAATTACTTTCATATTAAAGAAAAGAAAAGCAACAAGCTTTTCTATCTTCGTTTTCCTTAGTTTTGATTGTGGCAAAAGTTACAGAATTCCTAAGGGAAGAAGCACAAGGACTTCTGATTCTCCCTGACCCAGAGCCAACCCAAACCTTGAAGGATATAATTCCATTAACAAAAATAAGAAGTGCTGACAGATTCATAAAAGCAAAGATTTTGGCTCATGATGATCACTCACATCCCATCTTCCTTTGCTGTTTGTTAAAGCCCTTTAGTTGGCTCCTTCCCCTTAACTTGCTATAGCCATCCTAAGCTAAGCTATACCTAACATTTGGAGTGACTCCAGGGAACTGAGAAGGTTGAGATAAATTTGGGAACTCTTGCATTCTCTGCGTTATTGTCAAGGTCTTTTTGTTAAGTAATGCATTCTCTCCACGTGTCGAAACACTTAAGACAGCAGTTTTTAAACTTTCAGAAAAACTTTCCAAGAAATATGAAAGCAAGGGTAGATTTTTGAGATTTCCTCCCCCCTCCACCCACCTTGGGTCCTTGGTTTCTGAAAATACTTGACTAAAATAAATCTTTTGATGGATCAGGAGAAGAATCACATTAAGCAAGGCCATTACATTAACTAGCACTCGAGAACCATAACCAGGGGTAGTTTCTGTGAGGGATGTGTGGGCCAAACCCTGTGGAAATTCTAGCCCCACTGGTTATCTCAAGAGTTGGGATGGTGATGGGCTAAGCTAGGTGTGACCAAGGAGCCTGCCATGAATCACAGATAAAGGAACCCCCAACAGCCTGGACTGGTCAGGGCAGCAGCACCTGAATGTGCATCCTGAATAGCATGTGGGGTGGGCTGAGCTGCAATGTTCACCAACTCATACAAGGCCAAATGGAAGGCTAGACTTTGCCGGAACCTGGCCTAAGCCCAATGGCATGTATGAGAACTGGGTATGGGAGTAGATAAAGTGGAGGAACTTGGGAAATTCCCTTGGTGAATCATAGCTCCCGCTGGTGAACATGTGGTCCAGACCTGGGGATCGGTCAAAGTAGCTCCAACAGCTGGGTAATGTGTCAGTTGGTAATGGAACAGGGTGGACTGGGCAGGACTAAGCAAACCTTAGCCTACAAGCGAAACTAGAGACCAGGAAGGAGTACAGGTCACACCGAGCTATGCTCTTGCACCTACTGGTCTGCATGAGCCAGGAATGCTAAGCCACAGTGTCTAAGGCAGAGGCCGGGACAGGTGAGGGGCTGAGCCAAGCTGAGTCAGAGCAACCACTGGCATGCAAGTAATCTATGGCTGGGAACAGGCCTGGTTGGGGAGCTAAGGTGATAACCCTAGCCGGGTTGAGGTTCCCACCAAGGGGCGTGTGGCCTGGAATGGGGGC